TCCATAGATTTTTTATTAATCCTATAGTTTATTGTTAGCAAGTGATTAGTCACTGATTACTGTGGCGGCTATTGTTAACACTGGTATTGATAAAATTTGCAAGCGATTGTTTTTATAATATGTTATGTGAATGTAAACTGTCAGAAGAATACGACAACATGATTTTATCATAGATATCTTATATGATTTTATGCGATCTCTGTGGGCAATGGTTCCACTTTAGATGTGTAGAATATGACACTAGTCTAAGTACCTCAAATGAGTGGTTATGCAGACTGTGCACACCACCAGCTGCTAAGAAGCTTAAAATGTGTATGTGCATGATTTTGTTTCCTTGTAATAAATAAATCACCCAATAAATCTTTTCAACTTGCAATCGTTTTGTTTTTAGATCAAAAATTCAAAATTTATATCGGGGGGGGGGCGAAATTCCTTAGGGGGATTTGCCCCCCCCCCCTGGGGGGCGATATTCCTAGGAGATTCGCCCCGGGGGGCGAATATCCTAGGAATATCGCCCACCTTTTGAGAGGGGGGGCGAATCTCCTGGGGGGAGGGGGGGCGAATATCCTAGGAATATCGCCCACCTTTTGAGAGGGGGGGCGAATCTCCTGGGGGGGGGGGCGAATCTCCTGTGACACCGGCGCACAAGAGAAGTGGCAACAAATGCAATGATTTTCTCGTCCGGTAAGAAAAATGCAAAACCAGAGTTTTACAAATCGAGGCAAATTTAATGATTTCTTGACTTAATTTAGCACCCTTAATTTTAAACCCGAGTTTAAAAGTTTGATTACTGTGGAGAGATCGACAGAAACAATTAAAATATTATCTTGTCAATAGACTGCTTAAAATACTAATATGTGCTTAAAGGTGTATGATTTCGTAACGTTTTAGTAATTAACTGATTTCGTTATGTATCAACACTTGTAATGGGTAAAGTTGGAGATCTAGATATATCTTTTACTAGTCCACGGCATTGGATTTGCCGTCCCAAATACATTTTTCTAGCCAGTCCACTGAAGTAAACGGCGATCTTCATTGGCTGGCTGACTGACTTGTAAGTTTTCCGGCAACTCAATAAAATTTGACCCTAAATATAAAACTATTGTACTGATCTGGCTACCAGGACAGTAGTTTCACAGTAGACAATCACAATCACAATCACAATTACAATTACAATGGCATGCAATAACAATAAACAGTTCCGCTCACTTAAACTCCAGCATAAAATTGAGATGGCGATGGGCTTCTATAGATTTTGCTTGCTACAAACTCGAAGCCCACCATCGCCATTTCAATTTTATACTAGAGTTTACGTAGGCGGAACTACTTATTGTTATTGCATGCCATTGTGGTTGTAATTGTAAACCACTGTCTTAGTAGCTATATCCGTAGAATAGTTTTATATTTAGTATCACTTTACCAGTCGAAGACTGCAAACTGGCAGTCGAAAACTGGTATTAGAATAAATTATACGATCAGAGAACGTTTCAGAAACTTTTTTTACAATCATGGTCGCGCATCTAGCATTTTGATTTGAAATTTGACGCGTTGCGTTGCCGCTATTAGAGAGTTTAAGTTCGACTTCCAATACCAATACCAATACTAACAACATGTCATGCGTATGCTTTCTGCTCGCAAGAAGCACGAGGACAAGTGTATTGGAAGTCACCACTACCGAAGTCGGCCTTGTTTTGGAAGTCGGGGGAATTGTAAGATAAACTCATATAAATCGGATATTTCATAATTTTTACGATACATGCGAATTTTTACGATAACATGTAAACTATTTGTTTATTCCGATCTATCGCCTGAGTCATATTTTAGTAGGAATTTTAGCTCAGCTGCCGTTTAGTATACCGCACATTTTCGGTGACGATTAATGTGTTTTATACTTTATCTGTCGTGATAACTTAACGCTTTAGAATTCCCGGTACCAAAATGAGAACGGAAGTGAAAACATTGGTATCGGTATTGGTATTGGAAGTTGAACTTAAAGTCTCTATTGGAACACCGCGGAAAAACGTCTGCGCATGCGTCAACCTTACCTGTAATAGTATTGCGAACTTGATGAGAAGCTGTTCCGAACGTTTCCGAAGGCTCAAAATGGCGGTAAAAAGGAGTGACTTTATTGTGCGTCTTTACAGCCAGATTTCGAGTGCAAAAATAAACATGTCATTCTAAAAACTAGGAATAAATACAGCCAGAAGGTTCAAGAAATTGTATTGTACAAGAACATGAACTAAAGGTGATTGTTGACAAATTTATCGTCTGAAACATTTTGTTTATCAACTAAGCAACGACAATTTCCGAATTTTCGTTTGAGATACATTTCTTCAAAAAAAACTGTGTCGCCAAATATAAAACATTTTCTTGTTCACAATAATTAAACTTTAGGATTTATTCTACAATTTGAGTGGGTTAAGAAGCTTAACTTTTCGAGAGTTTTCTTAACTTTTTAGTTTGAATTTTTGATTTGAATAATTTTGCAAAAATTTTCGAAGTCGTGTCCGTTAAAATCAACAATTTTTTACATGAATTATATTTCATTCCATACTTTAAATGCCAGGACGCTTTCAATTAATGTCTAGTCTACCCATTTGCTATATTTTCTCGTTTGTTTTACTAATTTTGACCAATTAATAAGCATGTTTTTGTTTTAGAAATTGATATTCAAATTCCCCGCCATATTTTCATAATTTGGTGCATGCGCAGACGTTTTTCCGCGGTGTTCTCTATTGGTGGTAATATGTCCCATGACCATTACAAGGTGTCCCAAAAAACCCGAAAACTATTGAAATAAATGTATTGTTAGCATTTGAATGCCTCAGCACTCTGCTGAACCCACACGTGCATCAAAGCTTGACATTAAGTACATTTTATGCATAAAGAAACCGTTTAAGAAGCTGCTTTAAATTCCCAAGAGCAGAAAATCGTGCACTTTACAAAGATATTTTAATTTCTTATCAAATCACTATTTAATATATGCACCGTTGTCAATATTTTACGCATCTTTGCGTTCAGCTTAGTGATAGGGCACTCAAATTTTAACAATATGTTATTTCAATGGTTTTGCGGTTTTTTTGGGACACCTCGTGCAGGAAAACCCAAAATCATTGAAATAACGTGATATTTTGGGAAAATTTTCTGTCCATGGAAAATTTTCTTGAGTGGAAATGGGCCTTTACAAGCTGCAATGATTTTCAAGCAACTCGCAATAATAGGGGACAGAGGCATGCGAAGAGACTAGGGTGAGGCGCTATTTGGTGCCAAATTTTAATTATACTGGGGAAAGCCAATAGGAACTCTCCAAGCTATAAACATTGCTAGAAAAGTTGCATGAAGCCATGTTACACGCTGCAATGCTAAAAATAATTAGTACAATCGTTGCCAAAAGTAGAACCAACTTCTACTCGGTGCAATGCTTCATGCAACTTGTCTCGCAAAGATTTTGACCATTGCAAGGCATGTTAAACGGTGCAATGACTCGTGCAACTTGTCTCGCAACGCTATTGCGAGACAATTTGCATAAAAAATTGCACCGTGTAACAGGGCATTTACTGCCAGGGCATTCAAATTCTAGCAATACGTTATTTAAATAGTTTTGGGGTTTTCTGGGACGCCAAATGTTATACCGTAGGCTATGTAATAGTATGTTATAATTATGACTGCTATATTCTTTTATACTTTTAAATTTCATAAAAATATTTATTGGTTTGTTTTTGCAGGAAATTGTGTGCCAAAGAAATAAGAGAAATGTCCGAGTTGTGGACAGCGAAAAATAAACGTAGCATAATACTGTATGTATACAACACATATAATCATAACTGAACTGAGGCAATCAGAATAGTTCTTAGAATGTCAATAAATGTCTAGTTTTGTGATAAAGTAATTCAATAAAATGATTTAACATAATTATTATGCGCAAAGAATATTGCTGGGTATCTTTTCTTCAAAATGTGTTGTATTTGCTTTGAAGAGAATCTTTGCATAGACGGAAAACACGCACCTTTGCTTGCCCTTTGCTTGCCCTTTGCTTGCCCTTTGCTTGCCCCAGTAGCGAAGCACGATTTTCTGATGAATTGGACTTTTTTGATCGGTAAAAAGTCAACCTTGTTGAAAAAGCTGCATTTCTTTCCCATATCATCTCAGGTTCTCGACATTCCATCTTATAAAAGTCAGGAGAGGCAGGAGCGCTGCTAGGGGGCTAAACCCAGTTGTAGACAAGAAGGAAAGAAACTAAATTTTTTGAGTGTCACTCAGTGGCGGAAATTTAATTTTTTTTTTCGGGGGGGGGGGCAAAGCCTCCTAAAGTTCCGACAAAACTTTCAAATTTCCGACGTACCCCCCATTTGCACTCGAAAAGACTGTTTTTAGCCCTCTTTTAGGTCAAACTTTCCGAAAATTTGTCAATTTTCCGTGAAGGTGGCGGTCGCCTCCCCCCCCCCCCCAGCCTGGTGTCACTGATTAAAAACTAATAATTGTAGTTAACATTTACAGAAACATACGGAAAAATTACGGAACATTAAAGAAACGATGCTACATTAACCGAAAAGAGAATGAAAATTTTAATGTGCGGAACATTTTTTTATTTTAAAGGACCGGTCATTATTTATGGCAGGGGTGGGGGCCGAAAAGAAAATGGTGGGTAACTGAAAAATAATACTTGCTTTAGGTGGGGTGGCCAAAAAATCCTTGCATGCAGAGGTGGCCATGGGGTATGGCGCCGGCTGTTCTCAACTCTCGTACCTAAACCAAACGAGCTCGAGAGCACGGCTTGTATGGGAGTTGATGATTGCAACATTCAGTTCTATCGTTAAAATTTCTTCTTGTTTTTGAATTTGAAAGGATCGAATTGAATTTATCAGATATCAATTATATTGTTCTATAGTCTGGAGCTCTTAGCTCGCAAAAAAAACACAAAGCACTTGTATTTACGAGAAAATTCGCTAGTGTAAAACCGACTTCAACAAGACAAACCGGTAACCAAAGTTATGTTTCAGGCCAGCCATGTGCAGAAGAACCATGTAAAAACGAAGGAAAATGTAGCGATGTTGGAGGAAACGTCTCGTGTTCATGCCTTGCAGGGTATTATGGGGATAGATGTGAACAAAAAGGTACTCAACATGTATACTATTTTCTCTCGTTTGAGGGTTACAATCATTGGCATAAAATTATATTGTTCTATAATTAATGCATCAGAGAAAATGCAGCATATTTTATAACCGAAATAGATATCGATTTTGTTATTTGTCCATTTTGACATATATCCATTTTAATTAAAAAAAATTTCCTTTTTGTTATTTAAAAAAAATTCATTAATTGATCCATAAATTAAAACTGAATGAAATCAATTTATTGAAAGTTGACGTCGCAGGAATTTTCCGTATTGTCCATGCAAGAACAATGTATAGTCTTTCGTGCCTTTCAAGAAAAATCATATTTCACATAAGAAAATTCTCCAAAACTCAATACAATTGAAAGCAAGGAAAGCAGCAAATAAAGTGTAAAAAAAATAAGCCATAATTATACCGTATTTCGTCATCATTTTCATAAAGTCTTAATTTAATATAACCCAAACCACCATCCCCTCCCGGTACTTACTGGCCCATCCATTTTTACTGACTTTTGTTACCTATTATCTCTTCCTTTTACGGAATGCCAATGACTGACATAAGATAATAATTATTTGCTTTAGAATGCAAACAACCATTACGCCTTGGTGTGGAAAATGGCGAGATACCTGACTCCCAAATATTAGCTTCGTCAGAATATGATGCGAACCATGGAGCAGTTAATTCAAGACTGAACTTCCGGGCACAAGGCAGACGCCAAGGCGCTTGGTCGTCAAGACGTAATGACCTCAACCAATGGCTTCAAGTCAACTTCGTGCGTCAGGCTACTGTAAATGAGATCTTAACGCAAGGTCGCAGCAATGCGGACCAATGCGTGACGAGTTATAGTGTATCATACAGCAACGATGGTCTGAATTTCTTTGCCTATCGCGTGAATGGAGTGGTAAAGGTATGAATTAATAAACGTTTATTCCTCGAAATGATATATACATTTTACGGCTAGTGTGTGAGTATGAAACGTTCAGAGATTTTTGCAAAAATTAAACTGTTATCAGTAACAAAATCACAATTTAACAGTCAAATTAAACTTACCTGTCAGGATTTTCCATACTAAATCAACTCTTATCGTTTCTTTAAAAATTCAAAAAAATGTTTTACAACTAAAATTTTATGTTGTTAAACGATTTCAAGAAGTTTCGGGAAATTGAGATTTCATTAGTGACTCATCTGCGAATTTTCCAAATATGTTCGCAAACATGTCGTGGTTGAAACTTGAAAGTCATACTTCATCAAACGTATGAGTCAGAAAATAATGTACTGTTTAATGCCTCAGTGTATTCGAATAAATAATATTACAATATGATCAAAACCAAGGAATCGAAGAACATTTCATTCTCTTCTAGCCTTCCCATTTGCTCTATTTTCTAGTTTGCTCTCCGACATATATCTTTACTTTAGGAGTAATTCCATACGTATACTTCAGTGGAAATGTGAAAATTTGCATGCATGCATGCGGGCGCATTTTATCGAGTAAACACGAATTCCATTTCATCATCACAAGCTGAATGAGGAGGAATATTGTGGCGTCAGCGATAATTTTTATACGCAAGAATACAAATCGGACATGTCAAACCGCAATGTACCTAAAGCCTTTGGTAGCAACAACTCAGTCAGTTTATTATTTCCTAAAGTAAAAGAATTTAAGTTGATCTTTCTACTGTTCAGGTTTTCCGAGGCAACCGTGATAGGAGCATTGTTGTTCGTCAAAGTGTTTCTCCCGTCATTGTTACAAAATACATCCGCATTCATCCGAAGCAATGGCATGGGCACATATCCATGAGGGTTGGTTTCCCTGGTTGTTTGAAAGGTAATTTATAAGTGTACATACAGTGGTCTCAGAAAACGTGAAATGCAGTACCCTAGGTATTCGAGCATGCCCCCGTAATTCAACATTTTACTGGCTACACCACTGTTTTTAGGGGGCGGGTTATACTACTTTTACACGATCCCTAGGGGAGGGTCACAACTTTTCCAACTTATAAATGGGGGAGGAGGGGGTGTTGTATTATTTTCATCAAGTCATTGAAAATCTGCACCTACCCTTCCATCTGCTAATTTCTGGCGAGTCCTTTCTGAGCCCAAAAGTGTTTTATATGTGATAAAACACGACTACAAGTGCTTTAAATGGCTTAAAAAACGACTCAGCTTATAAGAGTTCATTGGCGAAGTAATTTTTAAAATAAACTTTGTCTAAACCGAGAAAATCAAAGCTAAAGTTTATGTAAATTAACATGATTTTATATCATATATATAACCACGACACGCTTATGATTTTTCTTTGTGTTTTGCTCCTGAATTATTAATGAGTTTTTTAAGTATATAAAAGCAACGGGCTCCATGGGGTTACCAATATTTTAAATATTTATTCGAATATCTGTACTTATCGACTCCTGACTAGTTTACAAACTTGCAATAAGGCCACATAAAATAAATTCCTTGATTCTCATCACTACACTTTGAAAATGTCGAAGAGGCAGGAGGTTTATATTTTATATTTTACATTTATATAATTTAATATATATCAATAAATAAAAGTGTCACAAACTGAAATAAACATATTTCTCCACGAACAATGACTGGCCCTTGAACTGAATGCGAAGTTCCGTTAAAATGCAATGAAATTTCTTTCAAGGTTCTATTTGTTTGAAATTGGCAGTTTAAAATGGCACTAAAAACTCAATATAAAATATAAAAAACTTAACTGTCTTGAAATATTTTGTCGGGCGGTACATTATTGTATAACAAAATATAAAAAAAATTCACGCGGCTCTTAAAATACAGTAGGGCGGTGATCAGCCTAGACCTAGGCCTTCTAGTCTTATTTATATTTTTTAATATTCAGCGCTTTTTCACATGAAAAGACTGGGACTAGGTGATTTGGGGGCGGGGCGGAGGAAGCAAGCCTAGAAGGCCTAGTGGATTTCCCAACAACAAGGCCAAAACTGCCCTGAAACTGCCCTGGTTGCGAAATGCCCAATTATTGCGTTCTCGAACAGAATTATTTGCAACTTAACGGCGAATTTAAACCGATACAGGTAAAATAAACTCATTTATAGCATAAACTTACTATTTTTATTTGTATACACGTCTAGAAAATCGGGTTTTTTATCATAAAGTTCGAAGCAACACTATTATTTAATATATGTTGACAAGGTGTAGCGAAAGCACAAAATGAGTCCAAATATATACCAAAAGTAGAATCTTTCATGAAATTTTGTCTTATACACAACTACATTAATATATATTTTCTCAATTTTGGCAAGAAGCAGTCTTGTGTTTGTAAAATATACAAAATAAAACGGATACATATATTATTAGCCCGTACAGTACTGTATAAAAAAACGTACATTATTTTGTTTACAAATGGTATATACAAATAAAAATAGTAAGTTTATACTATAAATGAGTTTATTTTACCTGTATCGGTTTAAATTCGCTGTTAAGTTGCAAATAATTCTGTTTGAGAACGCAACGATTGGGCATTTCGCAATCAGGGCAGTTTCAGGGCAGTTTTGGCCTTGTTGTTGGGAAATCCACTAGGCCTTCTATTTTTTCGCTTGCGTCAGGCTTGTGTCCTTCCTCCGCCCCGCCCCCAAATCACCTAGTCCCAGTCTTTTCATGTGAAAAAGCGCTGAATATTAAAAAAATATAAATAAAAATAGAAGGCCTAGGTCTAGGCTGGGCGGTGATGAGAATCAAGGAATTTATTTTATGTGGCCTAATGTGAAATCGACAACTTTCATTGTATTTTTAAGTATTACATGTATGTGTCAATCATCGTTGTTAATTATTGCAAAATGCAAAGTGGGCGGAAGGCGCTTTTGACAACATTTTCATCAGACCTACGTTTCGCCCTTTCCGTCGACGAATTTTAGGGCGGGTGAAACGTAGGTCTGTTATAAGGCTAATATAACCCAAACCCCCATCCCTTCCCGGTACTTACTGGCCCATCCATTTTTACTGACTTTTATTACCTATTATCTCTTCCTTTTACGGAATGCCAATGACTGACATAAGATAATAATTATTTGCTTTAGAATGCAAACAACCGTTACGCCTTGGTGTGGAAAATGGCGAGATACCTGACTCCCAAATATCAGCTTCGTCAGAATATGATGCGAACCATGGAGCTATTAACTCAAGACTGAACTTCTAGGCTCAAGGCAAACGTCAAGGGGCTTGGTCTGCAAGACGTAATGATCTCAACCAATGGCTTCAAGTCAATTTCGTACTTCAGGCTACTGTAACTGAGATCTTAACGCAAGGTCGCAGCAATGCGGACCAATGGGTGACGAGTTATACTGTATCATACAGCAACGATGGTCTGAATTTCTTTGCCTATCGCGTGAATGGAGTGGTCAAGGTATGAATTAATAAACGTTTATTCCTCGAAATGATATATACATTTTACGGCTAGTGTGTGAGTATGAAACGTTCAGAGATTTTTGCAAAAATTAAACTGTTATCAGTAACAAAATCACAATTTAACAGTCAAAATAAACTTACCTGTCAGGATTTCCCATATAAATCAACTCTTATCGTTTCTTTAAAAATTCAAAAAAATGTTTTACAACTAAAATTGTATGTTGTTAAACGATTTCAAGAAGTTTCGGGAAATTGAGATTTCATTAGTGACTCATCTGCGAATTTTCCAAATATGTTCGCAAACATGTCGTGGTTGAAACTTGAAAGTCATACTTCATCAAACGTATGAGTCAGAAAATAATGTACTGTTTAATGCCTCAGTGTATTCGAATAAATAATATTACAACATGATCAAAACCAATGAATCGAAGAACATTTCATTCTCTTCTAGCCTTCCCATTTGCTCTATTTTCTAGTTTGCTCTCCGACATATATCTTTACTTTATGAGTAATTCCATACGTATACCCCCAGTGGAAATGTGAAAATTTGCATGCATGCATGCCAGTAAAGTTATGTTCTACTGTCATGTACGATTCGTATTCGGGCGCATTTTATCGAGTAAACACGAATTCCATTTCATCATCACAAGCTGAATGAAGAGGAATATTGTGGCGTCAGCGATAATTTTTATACGCAAGAATACAAATCGGACATGTCAAATCGCAACGTACCTAAAGCCTTTGGTAGCAACAACTCAGTCAGTTTATTATTTCCTATAAAGTAAAAGAATTTAAGTTGATCTTTCTACTGTTCAGGTTTTCCTAGGCAACCGTGATAGGAGCACTGTTGTTCGTCAAAGTGTTTCTCCCGTCATTGTTACAAAATACATCCGCATTCATCCGAAGCAATGGCATGGGCACATATCCATGAGGGTTGGTTTCCGTGGTTGTTTGAAAGGTAATTTATAAGTGTACATACAGTGGTCTCAGAAAACGTGAAATGCAGTACCCTAGGTATTCGAGCATGCTCCCGGAATTCAACATTTTACTGGCTACACCACTGTTTTCAGGGGGCGGGTTATACTACTTTTACACGATCCCTAGGGGAGGGTCACAACTTTTCCAACTTATAAATGGGGGAGGAGGGGGTGTTGTATTATTTTCATCAAGTCATTGAAAATCTGCACCTGCCCTTCCATCTGCTAATTTCTGGCGAGTCCTTTCTGAGCCCAAAATTGTACAGCATATCTTGCAACAAATAATAAACATTTAAATTGAACATTTTTATGATACCTTTTTAAAAGTAGCATCTAAAAAATCACCCTATAATTTACATGCTAAGAACACGGACGTGTTTACGGAGGTAGACGCAAGACTATAGCAATAGCTATTCTGCAATAAAGTGCAGGCGAGCGAAAAACTAATAAAAAGATCGCCGCCGAAAATGATCTTTATCCGTACCTTGTTGACAACTACGTCTCCAGCTGTCCTACGTTGAGAGCGCATTAGTTGTAAAAAATAAGGACCGCAGGCTCACATTCTCAGCTGACTTGCGGTGAAAAATTGAAAGTTTTGCATTGTGCGCAGAACTGGTCAATTTCTGTAAGATGTCCGTTGACAATACGAGCCTGCACGAGTGGGAGAAATTTTGCTAAATTTGACCAGCGCGGTATATTATTAATCAGTTCTAATTTGATATTTTCGGCAATGATCGCCGAAGGCTACAAGTTACAATTGCGTTGCCGCACAAGACATGATACATGTTCGATTTCGTGTCTCGCATCGGCAACGCAATGAAATTTGACCGGTGTGTTGCCGCTATTGGTGGTAATATGTTCCATGTCCTATATGTTATAATTATGTCTGCTTTATTCTTTTAAAATTTCACAAAATATTTATTGGTTTGTTTTTGCACGAAATTCTGTGCCAACGAAATGTCAAAGTTGTGGAGGCGAAAAATAAACGTAGCATAGAATACTGTATGTACAACACATATTATCGTAACTCAACTGAGGTAATTAGAATGTCAATAAATGTCTATTTTTGCGATAAAGTGATCCAATAAAATGATTTAACATAATTATTATCCGCAAAGAATATTGCCGAGTATCTTTTCTACAAAATGTGTTTTATTTTCTATGAAGAGGATTTTTTGCAAATTCCAGACTAATTTGTGTATCATCGATGCATTACACATTAAAATATAGCTTCTGCAGTCAGGACTGTAGCGACCAGGGGGGGGGGGGAGGGAATCGCACACCGCCCTCAATAATTCTGGATAATATATTTCAGTTAAATTTGAGATAAGTTTAATAAGAAATTCAGGTAACTATCGTGTCTGAAATCCGCGAAGATTTAGAATGCAATATAAGACTTAGTTTAATAGCGCATGGTATAGACTGACCATCAGCATACCCTGGTTGCCAGAGTTCTCGTATCTTTCGCCTCATTCGAGGGTCCTGAAGGGGGGTCCCAATCCCATTTCCCACCTGAAATTTTGGCAAAATCCCAGTCCCTGCAGTCGGATTTATATTAGAAATCGCAGTCCATGCTATTGAAATCCCAGTCAATAAAAAACCCCGTTATTTATCGGTAGAATAAACAGTTTTAAGACCATTTACAGTCGATTTCACGAAACTTTGACCACAAATTTTCCGAACTTCGTTGCGAAGTTCACAAGATTGTTGCGAAGTTCAAAAGTCCATAATGAGATTCACAAACCAGTTCGTAAACTACGCATTTGATTGGCTTCTTTTACTTCACGGACCAATCAGGGACTTTGTTTACAAATTGGCTCGTGAATTCCAATATGAGCTTCCGAACTTCGCAACGAACTTGCAAACTTCGCAACGAAGTTCGGAACATTTGTGGTTTCGTGAAATCGACTGTAAGCCACCGTGTGGGTGCGCCGTTAGGCCATGGGCCGTTGTGCGAAAAAGTGATTAGAAAAGCAATTTCGTGGCAACCCCCTAGGGAATAGATTTTCTGTGGTTCAATGCATAGTACCATAGATGCTGAATTACCAAAAAAAGTTCCCAAGCAAAAAACTTGCCAAACACCGAGAAAACGGGTGATCAGTAATTATCCACTATTAAATTGTATTACAGCAAGAAAATGTGAAATTTTGTATTCAATTACAACAAAAATGACTTGCATCATCAGAAAGCTTACAAAAATCTACACATAAGACATTTAAACAGTTTTTTTTATATCTCAAATTGTTTTCGAGTTATACGCTGTCAAAAACGCGTTTTTGACCTATTACCCAGTCCTTATTGCGACATTTTGGTCCAATTTTCACATTTAAACAGCAATAACTCAAAGACTATTTGAAGTATCAAAAAACTGTTTAAAAGTCTTATATGTGGCTTTTTGTAAGCTTTCTGATGATGCAAGTCATTTTTGTTGTAATTGAATACAAAATTTCACATTTTCTTGCTGTAATACAATTTAATAGGGGATAATTACTGATCACCCATTTTCTCGGTGTTTGGCAAGTTTTTTTACTTTGGAACTTTTTGTGGGAATTGAGCATCTATGGTACTATGCATTAAACAACAGAAAATCTATTCCCCAGAGAGTTGCCACGAAGCGAAATAATTTTGGCCAACGGCCCACGGTCTACGTGTGTGCGCACGATTTATCCAACACAATATTGATATTAACAGAACCTTTATCGAAGCAAACAATGCGTTGTACGACCCCAACACTAAGTGATTTCGATCCACTCTTGCAAAACATAGACATCTGGTCATCAGTTCTTAGAACAAACGACGCCTTAATGCGTGGATTTCCCGGCTCGACGAAATCGATGTAAAATATTTCCAAGGAAAAATCGGCGAATCCTTTCTTTTTGCGGCAATCCTCTATTTCAGTCTTGAGACGCATTGTTTTCGCTAGTTCTCTTGCTGTACATTGTAGAGAGATCTCTAGTTTAAAATTCTCTGTGTGTATTGCAGTATTATTCGTTGTAATATATTTGATTTCTGCAATGACAGTTCGTTCGTTTGTTTCCGACATGACGGTATTTCTTGTTGCGCTTTGCCTTTGAGGTAATACTAAGGGTTAAATGAAGTAAATACCGGAAACCAGGCATATATTCCGCTGTGCATCTGACTTGGGGACACGCATAATCAGAAAACCCAGAATTCCGGGCGCCAGAGTATGCCTGTTCGAAGGTAGTGCTGTAAATAATATAGTTAACAACAAAAATCTTTACCAAAGACACCAAAAACTGATCTTACGTATTTTAAAATACTTAAGGGGAGGGTCAACCCAAAAATTGATTGAAAAGTGAAAAAAAAATTTTTGTGCTAAAACAGAGGTTTAGACCTTTGTTTAGCTATTGCAGATTGATTTACGTGTATTTTCTAAATTTTTCTGTGTTTTTGAGCCGTTTTTACCAACCGCATGTATATTTCTCTTTCGTTGCCATGGAAACTGAAGAGCATTTTTTTAAAATTTTGGCCGCTCCTTTGTTAAAAATCTACTGTTTTGTTCAAAATTGAGAAGAAACTACAAGTAAGGCCTGCTGGCTTTGTGTTCAGCGGTGTTCAACACAAAAATTGCATTATGGGACACGAAAGCACGCTTTCACGAGCCCGCTCACTGATGTCAGTTGATTTCAGAAGAAATTTTCCTAGTTCAGTAAGCTTTTCAACGCGTAATTGTTGGTTAAATGGTTGGGAAAACGAAAAGAAGCGTTTATCGAAAGTCAAGGAAAGGTCGTGGCGTTAGTAATGTATGAAAACAAGAGCGTGAAATGCCAGAATCTTCATCAACTGTTAGCGAAGATGTCGGCCATGTTGGGAACGTACCGAACGTTAATACTGTACAATTGCCTATTTAAAAATACTGATGAATCTGCCAGTGATTCTGATGAAATATCGACACCCACAAGTGCTTCAAGAACAAAACTAAGCCAGCATATGCTCAATAGTGTGCTGAAAGCGAAGGAATAGCCATTTGACCATCCCAATACAGACTTGTTGATAACTGGACAACTGTCATCTGCTCTTTCTGACATCCACATGTACAGATGTGAACAAGGTAGGCACTGTGACTTGTTATTATTAAATGTGAACAAGGTAGGCACTGTGACTTGTTATTATTAAATGTCGCTGAATTAATTTCAAATCACTTCAGGTTTTTGTAATGTAGATAACACTGCTAAATATCTTTGTAGCCCATAATAATATTCAGCATGTTTATGTGATAAGCTTTAATTAGTGCCAATGTACCATTAGAATAAGCTTTGGTATCCATTAATTGTAACACTTCGATATAGGACATTTGAGGCTTGACGAAGGAGAAGATAGAAGACGGGTTAATGTCAAGGTTGAGAGTCGAATCCAGCACATGCGACAATGTAGAGGTGTTGGATACATCTACCAGTGTATCACAAAGGGGAACATCTTTCGACATTAATCGACGACTTGCGTTCAGCTTTATTGAAACGGGTGGCGGCTGCGGAGGTCTGGCTACACTGTGTACCATTATGAACATGCCATGTATGTCAAAAACTGCATATTATAAACAATTATTTGGACCATTCTGCTAGTTGTAGAAAGAGAATGTCTGAGTGAACTGAAAAGAGTGGGTGAAAAGGTTCCTAAACCTGATTTTTGAGCAAAAGCGAAAGAGAAAAAGAGGCGTCAAGGGGAGAACTTATGTTGTACTAGAAGGGAAGAAGTATTGAAGGATGCTGAAGGTACCACATATGAAGCTGGTGCCTTCTAATTACCTTCAGCAAGACTTTGATTTTGAACTTATGTATATAGACCATACATTTACTCATTGTAAACAATCCTCAAACGTTAAAGCCGTTTTCTCAAAATCGCACATTTTACCCTTTGAGAAAGGATATCTCTAGAACGATTTAACCAATTGACATGAAATTTTCAGGATTTATGTATCTTACCATTTTCTTGGGGATGAACAGAGGATTTTTAAGTATATATTTTATAACATGAATTATTGCATAAACATGTCAAGCAAATTTGTATGGTATATTTAAAACCTCGTAATCCGCTTAGTTTTCAAAATTTTCAAAAATCCTCTGTTCATCCCCAAGAGAATGGCAAGATACATATATCCTGAAAATTTCATGTCAATTGGTTAAATCATTCCAGAGATATCTTTACTCAAGCTCAGTCTATCACGAAACCGCATGTTGCCACTTTAACTGCCTGGTTGCCAATAGCAACGCAGTTTTGGTGTCCAAAAATATATTTTTTAGAATCTTGAGTTCATTAGCTATCTGATGATATATAGTTTGCCAGAGGTTTATTGTAAAGTGTCCAGTGTGCAGCCTTTGTTCTGTGAGCCTTAGTTTTGGGTTGACCCTCCCCTTAAAACGTGGAAAAATTGGGAATCGACTCGCATTACCTCAATCCCATTCCCATTTTTGAGGACTTCATTTCCCATTCCCAGTGGCCAAATCACAGTCCCAGCAACCCAAATCGCATTTTCTCACTCTAAAAATAGATCAATCCCAGTTCCCATTTTACCTCTTCAGGACCCTCTTATTCCCGCTCGTATTTATTTTACTCAAGGCGAAGAGAACCTCTGGTGGCACGCGATATAAATCTCACTTTACGGTGGCCCAGAAGGGACACCACTGTCAACAGAGTGATTATCACAAACAATAGCAATTTGTAACAAACTGAATGAGATTTGCTGCAAACATATAAATAAAGCGCTGCAAATAAAATATAAAGCACGCTGCAAACAATATATACAACACGCTGCAAACAAAATGTAAAACATGCTGCAAACAATTTATACAACACGCAACCTCGTACCCAGGGCTTCTGCGCTTATTGCTCTCAGAAGCCCTGGGATAATCCAACTCAGAACGCGATTTGATTGGTCAATGGGAATACAATGAAAGTACCGGAAGTTATTCATTAACCGGGTGATATTTTGGCAACATGTCTGCTTTCACAAGGAGTGTATACAAAAGTTAAATGCCGGTTTTTGCATGAAAATACTTTTTTGAACCAAATTCTGGGCTATTTTGAAAAGAGCAAAAGAAGAAATGGACTATTTGTATTTGTAAATAAGCAAGAATGGCGAACAAAGTAAAAAATTTAATTAACATAATAAAGCGAAATGTTCATTTCTCATTCGAAAATTGAAATTTCAAGTATATTAAATCTACAACTTCAACCACGATATTCAATGTAAATATTACATAATAAAGTTTTTAATACCTTTTTACCTTTATTTGATAAATTGTGTGTTCTATATTATTGCATTTTGTATTGGAATAGGATAAATTATGAATTATACACAAATATTTAAATTTACAAATTATTCCCAATTTGAGGATGCTGGGTGCACTGGCTCTGTATTAGTGCCTATTTATTATTGAGTTATTAGTGCCTCTAAATCTTTAATGTACAAACATTGTAATCTGTTACTTAATACCATAAAGAAACTGTTGATAGCACATATATTAAATGACTATTAATCAAAATGAACTAAATTTTCGACCATTATATAGCATATTTCCCCCAATATTGAGGGAATAATTTCTCATATTTATTTTTATAATAAGCCAATATTGCCCAACTGTGAAGTAAATATTGCCCGACTGGCCTAGTCTGCCCAACAATTGAGCCCAGCCCTGTATGCCTATGACCAGGCCTACAGGTGGACCCCCAACCTGATTGGTCACAATTTTTCTTTCTCCAAAATTTCCCCTCCCCATGTACAAGGATTGACAATTTGACAGTTTGATTAGATTTGAAAAAAAAAACACAGTTATATTGGGTCATTCCAGAAAACACCCATACCACTCCCACAGAGGAAATTGAAAGTTAATCCCTTCTACCCCTTTGGATGTCCTAATACATTTACTATTATCAGAAACAATTTTCCCCCCTCCCCCTCTGAACGGCAGAAATTTCCTCTGTGGGGGGAGTGTGGATATTTTCTGGAACGACCTATTTGAGAAATGCTTTTGCACAAATTTTAAATTTTCTTACAATTTTCTTGTATGTCAGAACACTGTTCTAAGTTGCAACTAAAATTCAGAGGTCTAAAAGGCTCAAGTCAATCCCAGTGATGTAACCAGAGGGGTTGGGGGTGGGGTCAAAATATTTTAAATGTTCTGAACTTGTTTGTAATTAATTAGGGTTGAACATGTGTTAACTGCAAGGTTATTTCAAATCACCAAAACACATTAAAATAGCCCCCCAAAATGGCACTTTATTAACTAGAATTTAAAAAGTCTACATTGTACTATATTAATATACATGGATAGCTTGGGAGTCCAAACTAGTGCAGGCCCCTCCTGGGGATTTCAGTCCCCCTTGAAGGCCTTAATTAGAAATTCTGGCTACATCACTGCTCAATTCCATTGCCAATGATGGTGTTAGCATGATTAGACAGAGTAGGTTAACAAACTAGTGTGTATTATGAGATAATCCATTGAACACCAATGATCTATTCCAACATATAAAATCATGTGGTGGATCCAGCAAAGTTTTTTTGGGGGGTGCTAACCAATGGCGAAACGAGCGCCGAAGGCGCGAGATTTCTAGGGTGGTCCGGGGGCATACTACCACGGAAAATTTTTAAAATTTGGGTCTATGAAATGGATTTTCCAGCACGCAACTGAATTCCTTAACATAAGTTGGTTAGAATTAGGATATTGCACCCCCCCATGCACCCCTGTTGACCAGAGCCTGGGGGGGGGGGTGCACACCAGAGTAAAATAAAAAGTAAGACACAATGTGTAACTTAATAGGTAAGGTTAATGGCCATAACTAAATGATAAACAATATTTTATAATAAACCCAAAATAGTTCAGCACCATTGGTTCTTATAACACTGTTCATTCCAATACTAGAACATCAGCAATTACAGTGCGTCTACTGTAAGTGGGGCCACTTAGAGAACACTAACCAATCGCATTGCAGAACAGAAAGAAAAATCTAATCAAACTAAAGCTCGTCCAATCAAAAGAAAGATTCAGGAAGCCATTAACTGCAATGTTTACTTTTACATGTCTATTTTTACCGTTTGACATTCGTTTATTTGTTCGAATTGTTTTTGCCCTAATGCTGATTGGCTAATGCGCCGTTTGTTGATTTTTTCACTTTCTGTTCTGCAATGTGATTGGTTAGTGTTCTCTAAGTGGCCCCACTTACAGTAGACGCACTGTAACAAAAGTTGGAGTTTCATCTGATGACATGTATGCTTCTAACCATGCTGTCCATGCAGCTATCTGACAGTGACAGTTTTTAATTTTCAACATTGATTCCCAAAGCCATTATTCTCAAGATTTGCCAAAAAGGTTTTCCAAATATTAAAGTGCAGAATTATATTACATCACTCATCACTGTTCATTTTACATTCTTCAAGTAGATGCATGTTTACAGTACAGTATATCTTGTGCATTTATAATTAAATCTTGCAATATCTTGTTCAAAACCCTCAAATCCAAGATAATCGGCAGCCAGCCATGTTACCAGTAAGATTTCTAGTCTGTTAATTTTGAAATGACCAAGGTTGTACTTGAATATAAATATTTATACTTTAATTATTGAATAGCCCCTGTATATCGCTGACAAGGTATGCTGTTGTCGCGATATAAGATGTTCTTTTGCTCGCCAAAGGGCTAATTTTACGCATAATTGTATCTCTAAATTGATCATTCCTGACTTTAAATTCCAAAAGCCACGCGAGAAGCAGTTTAAGACGTCTTTACAAGTCCAAATATATCATAAATTGCAACAAATAATCCATTCTCACTCCTTGCGTAAAAATATGCCCAGTCAGCGTTTTTAGCTGGAGCTACTGTTTACTTCCGCTTCCGGGGGCACCACTGTTCTATGGTGTTCCGGTTTGGATTATCCCAGGGCTTCTGAGAGCAATAAGCGCAGAAGCCCTGGGTACGAGGTTGCCCACGTATAGGCACAATATGTAGCACTTTCCCCATGCACCTTAGGTAAACCCTAGTCTTAAGCCCCGTTTACACGAGCAAATTTTATTAGACAAATTTCATATGTCAAACATATTTTACTTGTGTAAATGATAAATTTGTGACAAATTTATTGTGACAAATGCATTTGAACAAAAGCTAGCATGCTAGCTTTTGATCAAATGCATTTATCAAATGAAATTTGTCAAATAAAATTTGCTCGTGTAAACGGGGCTTTAGACTTTTATGAGAAAATATTTCAAACATTTGAATCAGTATATAGATGTGGATCATTTAGTTGTACAGACGTAATTAGAAATTATAACAATATCAGTACATTTTAGATACTAGGTATTTATATAGTGATATACACATGTATATATTTAGTGTGTTAGATGGTCACTAGTTTATCAGTCAGTGACTATAAAGTGTTTTTACCCTCATGAAATAAAGTTTTTCATTACATCACACATTATGGCCATTTGCACTATAAATACGCGTTGTAGTACATGGTAGCGCCACTCACCTGTTCAAAAAATTCATTAACTCTTTCAGGTGAGGGATTGTGCTCATTCATCATGTGATAAATCTTGTCAAAGTCCTAAAAAGAAGAACTTTGTTAGCGTTTTACTTTTGTTATGTCCGTAGATTTTTGCACCATGTACATGCAATGGAATATTACTGTACCTTCCAGATCTTGATAACTGACTCACTTTGGGTTGGCTTGATTACCCCATCTAACTTATCTGGAAGATCCCTCAATAGCTTTTTTTTGTCCGAACCCATCAGGCTGGTAAAATCGTACACACCACTTCCTTTTCCATCACCATTCCTTTTTTCCCAAACATTGAAAGACACACCACATGCCTGGATACACGTAACAATGTCTGACAGATGTTTGCTTGTCCTATCCTTTGGTGCTTTGTTGCCGTTGCCTTTAATGTCCCATTCTAGAGATTCGTTGACCAAACTCTTTGTCAGGATGTCTACAATTTTTGGTAAAATTAAAATAAACTGTGATGTAGGGGGAAATGGAGGGTGGCGTAATCAACCATGCACTACGTCATGTACCAGTTCTTATCTTTATCCACCATCTAACAGATAAAGCTAAGGATGAATATCTTACATCAAATTCCAACCCCAAAATTCGATTTCCTGTAGGAGGAAACCGGAGAAAACCCACGACTTTCGGTAGAGCGTTGACCGACACATGAATGTGTGGAGTCCGGATAGGGGATTGAACCCACTCAGAGGTAGAAGGTGCTTGCTCTGTCGATTGTGCCACCGAAGCCCCTTACTTTATACATTTTGTGCTATTGATCAATTAATTTTACTATATATTTGCTCTACTTTTTTCCAATGAACAACAAGCCGTCAAATCAAACCAGACTAAACTAAAACAAACAGACAAATTGTGCGTAAGCAGCGATTAGCTGTTTTGGCCCTTTCCAAGTTCAGCCAATATTAGAAGCGCGTTCTTAAAGACATGGCTTTGCTGGTCGATTTTGGAAACGCTTTCATTTACTCGTATTTGCAAGCTCGCTTTAACTGTTACAAAGAAATGTCACATGCAGTAAATTAATAGTAGCTTGCAAATAGAAGTATCCTTTTGCACTATCGGTTCATTTTAAGAATATATCAAATTAATACGTTTACGAAACCGTGCAATATGTTAATTGCACGTCAGCACGTGGGCTCAAGTGGGTTCGCAATCTCGCATTTCCGCATGTTACAAGTCAGTCACTTCACTAAATCAACTAAAGCTAGGCAAAGGGTACAAGAATTTGTTATTTTTAGGACTATTTTTTTGTGATATGGACGACAAACGTGAACAAGGTATGTAGTTGCATGCATATTGACATCGAAATTTCGATACACAATACACCAATCTCATTATTTACGTCGACAAACGTTATCAATATTCATGAGTGCAAAACACGTGGTACAACACTACAGTCAACAGTACAAAACGATTTGCTTCTTTGAATTATTAAGCAAAACAGAGCATGCCCAATTTTGTTTAATACGAGCCATTTTATATTTGAATTAGATCAGCAAAAAGTATTTAGTGACGAGCACCAAAAGCTAAAAAAGGAATCGAGAACCAGGAAGCGAAAGTTGGAAATAGATTTTTCCAAACTTTCCCTGGACAAGGCAGATTCAAAAAAGGCCAGACGAGACGGGAAGAGGAAAAAGAGGAAAAATATCAAAAAGGGCGGAATTTCCCAAACCCCTAAGGCTTCTGCAAGTGAGGAGATTCCTGACATGAGTGGTTGGGACACTGACGTCATAGTCTCTAGTGACTCAGACAGTACACCAGATCACTTGGACCCGGCACTTTCCCCCCCCCCCCTTGACACGACAGAATGGAATGATGCGACCCCTTATACACGGCCATAACGAAAATCCACAGTAGCTGTTGAGGTTTTGATATAATAAATACTAATAAAAGTTTTGATATACCTCAAAGGGTTGCTAGTACAGTTGTTTCATCTGAGAGGAATCACCTGATGATTCCGAGGAGTCACCTGATGATTTCTGTTGGATGAACCAGACAGTAGTCTGTGGCAACCTTTTTGAAGTATATCAAAAGTATACTGTCTTGCTCTATATGTATATGATATTGAGCACTCTATAGCATTTTGCAAACCAAAACTTACTTGTATATATATATTGCAATATGTATGTTAAACAAACTAAGATCACCTGTAATGCGAAGCATTAAATGTAGTTCATCCAATACTACATTTTGAAGTTTAACCTCCAGCAATGGCTTGTGTTGGCATGAAAATTTATTCTTTAGGTGTTTCCCAAAAATCCATTGGTTTAGACATATCCCATCTAAAATTTAAATCCGTATCAAAAACTGATTATGCTGATCAATATTGCTGAATATAAAGACTAATTTCTGACTTAAACATCTGGTTGCACTTAATTCAGTTAATCGGTACCTTAATAACTTGTGTATTTTACACCAAATACAAGCATAATCTGAGGTGGCTCCCTTAAAACCAAGTATCAACAACAAGAACTAAAAGAGAAATACATATAAATATTATAACAAGGCCACATGCATGATGATAAATACCATTGCTACCATTTGTAAGGCTAGGTTCATACTATGTAACCCTAACACAGTACTCACAGGCATAAGCAAATTGGCCAATCCAATAATGTTTGGATATTGTTCCATTGTGCTTGCTTTATGATGCATACTACATTCAGATCAGTACCCAAGTACTGTGTCATGGTACCTAATTATGATGCAAATATTACCTTGTAATCGCCTCCAACAAATATCTCAATGGGCACATTTTTATCCTTGATTTTGATTTGTCCTGCTCTTACTAACTTATTGATGTCATCAAAAATCTTTGAGCATGACCTTTTTAAAAGATCATAGTCCTCATGACCCTTGATAACAGCAACTGTATGATTCCCTATATGAGGAAATACAGAGAAAGCAGTATTTATGATAAAGCTGATATAGCTGGTTTATTTATTAACCCATTGAGTGGGACACTCTTCCCTTGACAAGTAAAATCATCTGGCATTAGACAGAGTAAAAACATAAAGTAGGGTACATCTGGGCATATTGACACTTAATTAAAGGGTTAATTTACACTAATAATATTTGACTATATAAACTGAAACTATTAAAAAGAAACAAAATTATGGGAAAATACCTTTTGATGACATCACACTATCTTCGGCATTTAGTATTGAAAAGCTGATAATGATGAAATTTGTCAGTGTTGTCATCTTTGCCCCATCACCACTGATTTTCACCTTAATTACAGTGTCTCTCAGTTTCTCATCTGACTCTATCTGAAAATTGAAGGTTGTGACATGAGTAATTTTTCTATAATAATATTGTAAACTCTTTCCAAATAGTGAATGAATCTCTGGGGCTGGTTGTTCAAAGGTCGATTAGCTTAACCCTAGGCTAACCTAAAATTCAAAGCAAACTACCCAACAGCTTGTTTATAAATTTGGAAATATTTCTTCAGAAATCTTGTCTGGGTCAGTAGGAGTTTTCTTCTCTGAAGTTTTGAAATAAACAGACTTGCAGAAATACACAAACTAAAACAGCAGGTTAAATTTTAACCCATTAAGCGCCAGTGATCTCCCCTTGACGAGTAAAATCATCTGGCGTTAGACAGAGTAAAATACTAAAGTAGGGTGCACCAGGGTGCAATGCGACTCAATGGGTTAACTAGACACATGGGCAGATAGGCCAGTTAACCCATTAAGCACCAGCACTCTCTCCTTGATGAGTAAAATCGTCAGGCATTAAACAAAGTAAAATACTAAAGTAGGGTGCATCAGGGTGCAATGTGACTCAATGGGTTAAGCGAGGGTTATCGCTAATCCAGCTTTTAACAATCAGACCCTGACGATTAAAAACATTATACAATAACATGACTTCATGAGTGGTATGTAATTACATTACTTATATATCATAACCAAGATTGCTGTTTACAATTTTCCCAGCTTATCCAGGACTCATTTTATGACACAGGCTATGACTGCCCAGGCTAATCAGGAATGGCTATTGTGCAAGACAACAGTTAGCTGACCATAATATAAGTATGGACAGTCATCGGGGCATAATGGCCAGTCTGAGTTTGCCAATGCCATGTCTTATTGTCTGGGCTTGTATTTTAACTCTTAAGTGATTTTAATACCCAAAAACAAAAGTCAACTTTTCCGCCAGACCATCCTCACTGTCAACAATAACTTCTGCAACTGACTCCTGAAAATGGATCTGGTCTGCTGTATATAGTTGGTATATATTTCATAAGTAAACTTACCATCTTTTCAATGACAGTGCTTAACTCGTCATGGAAATTGAGAGCAGCCCCATCCGCTTCCCCTGGCGTTCTTTCGATATAACAGAGCTTGTTTAAATTATCTTTACACTGTTTAACAAGATAGGACCTAGGAAGTTCTTCTCCACCCGGACAACAAGTTAGCTCGTGGTATACTGCTTCCCCAATGCAAAATTTTCCATAATAAATAAGACCTGCTGTATATCCTGCTGTTCATCACCTGGCAGTTCCTTATAGGATTTTAATCTCTTTTCTGAGCTAAAAGATAAGGAATGAGCTTGCCCTGAATCGTCAACCAATTTAACACGGTCCAGTCGGAGTCCAAAAGATTCACTGAACCAAAGCGCTTGCTCCACTCTTGTTGCCAAAGTTTGAAGTTTGCGTTCTTGCTGCCGTTTTCCTACTTCAACAAATGTTTTCCCCTTATCCTCAAATCTTCTTTGGGGCGAAATTTTTTCGATTACATTGTACAATTTGTTGTTCTCCGTTTTAAGTTTGTCAATGTCAACAGTAGCTTTGTCGATTTTCTTTTGGATGTGGCCTACCTGTGTTGATGCTTCTTTACATTTAACACTTAATATTTTATTTTCATTAGTAATCGCCGCATTTACATTTTGAAGCTGCGATACTTGGCTTTGTAAATCATTCACCAAGGCAACAGTACTAAGTTCGCTATGACGAATAGCAACACTCTTCGCTTTTGCCAGGAAATTTTGCCGACTTCCCCCACGTTTCCCGATAAGTTGTTTTGCTACTTTCGCGCAATGTATACGTAGGCATTCATCGACTCTTGAACAGTTCTCCTGAACCTTTAAAGAATACCGTTTGCCGATAAATACGTTCAGTATCTGTACGTACGAGCAGTCACTCAATGTTGTTCGCTTTATATTGTGCCAACTGTTTAGTTGTTCGACCGGAATGTGAAGCGTAAATGCAACTTCTTCAGGTCTAACGTCGGACTTTTTAATTAAGTTTGGGCAATGCTCGCTATCGACAAGTATTTCCCTTCTAAATTTGGTGTTATAATAGACAACCAAGGCGTTTGCCATAAATTTGAATTAAATTTGCATCTCAAAGACGGCCAGAGAAGGATTCTAATTTCCCGCTTCAATGCGCGAAATGTTTCGCAGCAGTAAGTTACCATGGTAACGAGACAGGAAGTAAATATGCAAAGGGTTTGTACGCTGGACAGAAGCAGCGCCGTCTCTAGAAATGTATTATATGAGAAAGCTCTGTTTCTCAGCTTTAATTTGATGTATTGCTCGATGAATTCCGACAAGTATAACGCCAAAAATGTGTGTTCAAAGACAAGACATTTGAGTTCAAGCTTACATTCTCAAAATATATCAGTCTTTGAGTTTAAAACATCGTTCCTTGGTAAAAAAAATGACACATCAAACAACGTTTATTTTAACAAATGACAGCGCTATTTTGTGGTGTATTACTCATACTTCGCAGTGTAAACGGCACAAAAT